AATTTGAGAATTCGCGAGCAGAATACCATCTTGATCGAATATTACACAATTTGATCGATCTCTTTATTATTTCCAGAATCACTTGTATTTAATCGAAGAGGTACATACCGATCAATCCCAACATCCGCAAAATCGAATCTCCAGAATCTCACTAAACGGAGGCGAAATTGAACCATTGGTAAAGCCCTTTTACTTTCGCACTCTATTGCCTTTGTTTCACTTCAATGTTGCTATTATTTTTTTTATCAAGTTTCTATTGATACTATACACAATCTCATCATCCGCACTATGTATGTTATTATTTGTTCTCAAGGTCCAAGTTACTGCGAATGAAGTGTTAATCGATGATTCAGGTATCCGGCGCCGACTTTTACGCATGGCCACGTGTCAGTCCGGACGGGCGGTATTTCTCATGGATGCAATGGAACCTACCGCATATGGTATGTGTGTGCGTGGACTTGTAAATTCATTCAGCTCTTTCATTCATTCAAAAAAAATTAAACGATATTCGTCATTTTCATGAAGAAATCTGTAATGATCAAAAACTTCAAAATATGTTTTTATTAATCATAAGTAACGTAAAAATGGTTAATATGTTCGTAATATGAGGTATTTGTTTGCAGCCGTGGGATGAGACGAGTATTGAGGTGGTTAAATTTGACGTGAATGATGATGGCAAAACGAAACGCTTAAATGATCGTATCGTTGAGCTCTCAATGAAAAACGTCAACTTCCACGCTCCACAGTGGAGTCCACAGTCACAATTGCACTTGATTTGTGATCGTACGAATTGGTGGAATGTGTATTCGGTTAGCATAGGAGAAACTTTATTCTTTTTTAGATAATTTTCGAGTTATTTATTATTTCACTCTTTTATCGTTTCACTTATTGAATTCTCTGCACATAGTGCAATGATACGTAATTGATTTTACCGTTTCAGTGGCATTCGAATCAAGTTTCAGGTTGACCTAGAACAGAAGCAACTCAACGAAAATGTTTATGAAACACAATCTGAAATCGGCGCTCCACAATGGCAATTTTGTGATAGACATTATGCAATGAATCAACATGGTTCTCGATTTGTTCTATTTTGAAGTTAAATGAAGTTACCGTAGTACACAGTGATAAAATTATTGAATAGCCTCAACAATCATAGTAACAATGATAATAATATTATTATTATAAAAAACATACTAATAATTATTAATACTAATAATAATGATAATGACAAATTGATAATAGTGTTGATAATTAGATTACGCTGGATCACAAATGAGGCTTTCATTGTTCGTCGATTAAACCTACTCTA